ATACTACTCGTACATTGAGTTCTAGAAGTGATTTGAAGTAAGATGAGGTGGATCTTTTTTAGACTTGTATTTTGTCTTATGTAAATCTCGAATAGTTTATTATGATCTTGTTGCTATGAAATTGGTAACACCCACATGCATTTATGATTAAACAATTGTATGGGATCTTTTTTTATAAAACATGACCATATGTCATGACATTTATAAACGATAACTTAAAAATGACTTATAAAAATTGGATGTTACATGTTGGTACACCTCTAGTTCCTATGATACACGTTAGTCTAGTTGTTGCTTTTTTTAAAAAGCTATATGCCGAAATGATATTGATCCCAGACTCTCTTGAATGGTTAATTCTTATTTGACAGTCATTTCAATATTAACTGGATTGGTGAAGGATCTAGATATTAGTCTTTGTATTCCCTAGATATTGATATATTGTAGTGGTATAGGTTGTGATTTGTTTGGCGTGCCTACTCGCCATTTGGACGTTTTTAGTTGTTCGGGTAACTGTTGAGATGAGTTTTCTCACTATATTACTTATGACATAGTTTCAATTAGGGATGTGCAAAAAACCATATAAATCGCACCAAATCGCACCGCATAATGCGGTTTAAAATAATGCGGTGCGGTTTGCGGTTTATAGTTACTAAACCGCGGTTCAAACCACACCACATCGTGTGTATATATATATATATATATATATATATATATATATATATATATATATAGAGAGAGAGAGAGAGAGAAAGAGAGAGAGAGAGAGAGAGAGAGAGATAGCTAGGTTCAAATATGGATTAACAAATATTATGTGTATGTACGGATTAATATGAGCAAAGTATTATTTAATTTTAATAAATAATTAATTAAATCATCCACCCTTTACTTTAGGCAAATTACTTTATTTAATACCCTATTGCCTATTCCATCATCAACACCCACAAAATCGTATCCTTTCCCCTTCTACACTTCTACCCATCTCAATCTCTTACCAGCGATCAATCCTAACTCACCCACGTTCGAAGATGGCAAGATCGTTGGATGGAACGACTTCAAAATCGAAATCAGAATCGGGAACCAACCCTCCAGGGCTTGTTCAATCAACGTGCGTTCAATGTACAGTTACAATAAAATCTGATTAACCTTGTGTAATCGTTCATATCAACTTCATTATCTTCACACACTATCGATGCCCTTAATACAGAGAGAATGAACAAATTTTCTTCCACCTGCTCGAATTTTCATCACCAAAACCCTATGGTATGATATCCCTCACTGTATCTCTCTTTCTTTCTCACAAATACACGTTCTCATCGATTCCAATACACAATTGATTCCCCCATTTAGTTTTTGATTTGAAATTCAAATGGGTTTCCATAAATGTTGTTCATTTTTTCATTATCAATCTCATATGCAATCGTTAATAACATTTAATTCATATGGGGAATTCTTATTATTGGAAATTGGTAAATGGTAAGGTTCATTTTAGTATGCCTTACAAGTGTTTCATGTAACGACAAAGAATAATTTTCAACCAAATTTGGTGTTTTTTAGATCATGTATGTGTTCTTAACCTACTTTTTACTCAAATTTGTTACTAGAAATGGTGATAAAGATACAAATGCATCTTACATGTAATTTTTTTTTCGGTTCCTATTTTGATGTGCATCTTACAGGGGTTGCCAGATTCCATGGGATTTGGTGAAATTGGACTTGAATTCTATTCCAATTTGTCGTTGGTTAAAAATGAGTTCGGTTTATGTGAAATGGGTTTGGATTCCATCAGATTCTTAGCCATCATTCCACATACCCTCAAATCACTAAGTGTGTAGATGGTTTCTTTGGCTATTTTTAATTTTATTTACAATGCAATATGTTTTTGGTTTAATTTGATTTATGTTTTTAATGGAAAATGATAATTTTCCTATATTCTATACAAATGCAAATAAGTGAAATAGTAGGAAATGTAATGAATTTTAATTTCCTTTCTTTTTTTGAATGCTAATGAACCTTCGCCACATATTCCCCAAAATCAAAACAATTTTATTTTGTGTTTATTTTCTATTCTTAATTAAGTTAATTGGAATTTGTGTTTACAATGTAATTTTGTATATATTAATGTTCATCTCGTGTATTACAAAACCTGCATAAATTTTTTGTTAGTTTTATTTTTTCTTTATTGTAGAATTGTTAATCAAACATCTGTTGTGACTAATTATACGCACGAGGAATATGATGGAATATTTAACATTTTTGAAGACGTACTTGATGGATTCAAGGATGTTGATAATGAAGCAAGAAGTTCATGCAACCAAAGAACAAGGTAATGTTTAGTTTCATATATGTGATGAAATTGTAAATATTTGAAAGTTGATTATATTTGTTTCTAGTTTAGGTTTTGAAGAGGTTGTCATTGGTATGGAACAGAAAGAAAACGGAATGAAAGTGTATTCTAGCCAAATACGTTCTGTCAGAATATTTAGAATATTTACCACAAAATTTGAAGTGATTCTTAGAAATAATATTATTTAAGAATGAATTAGTGTTTTTGTTAGATTTTGATGTTTTTTAATCATTCTTAGTTTCAGTCTTTAAGAATGATTTATTATAAAGCTTGTATTCTTATAGAACATGACAAAAATTCAAAAAATAGTATTGTATTTTTATAGAATGTGACAGTAAAAATTGTTTTTTGTTTATTTTTTGACCTTAGATTCTTCAATAATATTAATAATAGATGATTATTCTTTAAGAATGTTGTTATTCTTCAACTCATGGTTCAAAATTTTGTTATTCTAAAAAATTGCATTCGATCGGAATATGTATTATATTAGAATATGTATTTTAAACTCTTGGTCCACATTCATCCCTATATTCACACATCATTTACAATTCACATTATAACCTAGTCTTATATATATATATATATATATATATATATATATATATATATATATATATATATATATCAAAGTTTCGGATCACCAAATACTTCATACTGTCCAATAACTTTATTCTATATCACAGTGGTTAAATATGGTAATTAAATACTTAAAAGACTATGATATCAAATTTTCATATGTCATAACAACTTAGCAAAACATTATGTAGGTTTTTTGTTTGCAATATCTATGCCTTTTAAATGGTATGCAATATAATTAATAAGTTTTGAAAGTGTTTAAATGTAATTAATAACAACCAAAGTTATAAATTAAAAGAACTTATCAAACCGCATAAACCGCCCAAACTGCTAACATGAAACCGCACCGCATAATGCAGTTTAAAGCTTTTGTGGTGCGGTTTGCGGTTTCCAAAAAACTCAAATTGCATGTGCGGTGCGGTTTGCAGTTTCAACTCTAAACCGTACCAAACCGCACCGCGAACACCCTAGTTTCAATGATATGATTGTATGCTCAGCTAGACTCGTAGGTTATTGCTTGTCTGCTTGCATGATATCTTGGTTGAAATAGACATGTTGACTGAAATAGGTCTATTGGTTGAAGCATACATGTTGGTTAAAATTGACATCTTGTCATTAATAGGCATGCCGATTAAAATAGACATGTTGGTTGAAATAGACTTATTACTGTTACGTTTGTTTTTTCTACTATATGTGGGTAATTCATTAAGCTCAATGTTTACAATTGTGGACTAACTGTTTTTCATGTACTTCGTTGGGTCGTGGAAAAGGGCAAGACTTGATTTTACACGCGCATTAACATCATGTGTTGAGATTTCCGCATGTTTTATTTTATAATCTGATTTGAATACTTGGGTTTTGATTATCAAACAATGGGTTTCTTTATGAATGAATTAATGTTTGAATGAAATATTATCTTTTAAATATGAAAAAAAAAAAAAAAAAAAATTGTTTGAAAATTGAGACGTTATGACAATCTCTTCACCACACTGGGGTCTTCAATTGGCAGGGCCGGATGTTGTGGTGATCCCATTAGGGCCGACATGCCAAATTAGCACCCCACAAGTTGCGAAACATATATACAACATAACCTTATTACCGAATATTATCGTGTCTAGTAGTCATGACTAAAAAAAAAAAAAAAAAAAAAAACCTTCATTATAAAGGTTGTATACTTTTTACTCACCTTGTGTATATTTTGTTTGAGTTACATAGTATATTCAATGTTCGAAATTTTAGGGGTTTTTAATGGCAATAGAAATTCCCCCCTCCCCGCTCCAATTACCTTTGCCTAACTCCCCACTTACTAGGGACGCACCGGTAATTTTCATTTCATTATCTCAAACTCACAAGTTTAAATGTTGATTTTGCGATGGACGTAATGTGTAAGATTTCTATTAGGACATGACTATTTTATTATTTTTTTATTCATCTTGACAATTTTCTGTAAAAAATAATAAAAATTATAGGGAAAATTTATAATTTATTTTCTAGAAAGACATGAAACATGCAAAGATACGAAAGCCTTATGGCAAACGTGTTAAACCCAAAGAATATATTATTTAAACACAATAAAAATCGCTGTAATAAAAATAAAAATTGCATAGACACATTTCCTAAAAATTATTTGGAATCATTTATAATTTATTTTCTATATAAAAACCTAACTTAACACCCTAAAAAATATTAAAAACTACTATTCATAAACGAGTTAGTGTTTATTATACATTGCTAAAAATGGAATAATCCAAGATTGCAACATAAATTACACATTTTTTTAACACGTATTAATAAATACACATGTGTAAATCCAAGTAAACAACTGATTGATTAATAAATTAAATATAGCAAAGAAGGAATAAATGAATACTTCAAACAAAGAAAAAGAAAAGCTGTTTCACCAACTATTTGCCCACCATTGGAAAGGAAAGTCCCTCCCACTTCACCCACCACCAACCCAACTCGTCTCTACCCCCTCCACAATCTCCCCCTATAAATACTCCTAATAACTTCTCCTTTCATTTCAGGTTCATCCCTTCATCTTCAAAACAATCTTCTTCTCCCACACAACATCAATCACATGGCGGCCGTAAACAGTGGTGGCAGCGAAGAAGTTATCAGTCAACCGGCGAAACACCAAGAAGTTGGCCACAAGAGTCTCCTACAAAGTGATGCTCTTTACCAATATATTCTTGAAACCTCCGTCTACCCAAGAGAGCCTGCACCCATGAAAGAGCTCCGTGAGGTCACTGCTAAACATCCATGGTAAGTTTTTGGAGACAAAGATTTCTTTTCAAGACCTAATTTCGAGAGTTAGAGTTTCTTTAACAATTTTTTTTGTAATATGAAACAGGAACCTTATGACAACTTCTGCTGACGAAGGCCAGTTTTTGAACCTTCTTCTGAAGCTCATCAACGCGAAGAACACCATGGAGATTGGTGTGTACACTGGTTATTCTCTTTTGTCAACGGCTCTTGCTCTCCCTGATGATGGAAAGGTAGCAAGATGGTGATTTTTATAAGATGGATATTACTTTACGTTTAATTATGAGATATGCTAATATCTTTTTCATTTTTTTTTTAATTCAGATATTGGCTTTAGATATTAATCGTGAAAATTATGAAATTGGTCTTCCAATCATTGAGAAGGCCGGTGTTGCTCACAAGATTGACTTCAGAGAAGGTCCAGCGCTTCCTGTCCTAGACCTAATGATCGAAGATGTAAGTATATAAAAGGATGTTGACAGTGAAAGATTTTGACGTTTTTTCAATTTCAAACTCTTTGAGAGAAAAAGGTGTATGATTTACTTTTTGTTTATGAAATCTTGGTTTTTATATACGCAGGAAAAATTCCATGGAAGTTTTGATTTTATATTTGTGGATGCTGATAAAGACAACTATCTAAATTACCATAAGAGATTAATTGACCTTGTCAAGATTGGTGGCGTAATTGGGTATGACAACACCCTTTGGAATGGATCATTGGTGGCACCACCAGATGCACCACTTAGGAAGTATGTTAGATATTACAGAGACTTTGTGTTGGAGCTTAACAAGGCGTTGGCTGTTGACCCAAGAGTTGAGATTTGTCAGCTTCCAGTTGGAGATGGAATTACACTATGTCGTCGTATCAGCTGAAGTTAAAGACAAAGGTGGTCATAATTAGGTCACCGATGAAAGCTGGTGGTTGTTGTTTATGTTTATGTTTCAAATTTCGTAAATTATTTCTATGGATTTTATGGGATTAATATATTAACGGTTTATTCCGTAGCTTTTTTTTTTTTTCATTGCTAATGTTTTATTTTTATTTTTTTCAAAAGAAATCAATAGTGCTGTAATGCTAAATCACGATATATATATATATATATATATATATATATATATATATATATATATATATATATATATATATATATATATATATATATATATATATATATATATATATATATATATATATATATATATATATATATATATAGAGAGAGAGAGAGAGAGAGAGAGTGTGCAATGATCATTAAAGAACCTATAAAACCAGGGAACTAAAAATGACACATTAGATCAAAACATTGATGGTCTAAATCAAAACATGAGATATTAGTAATTAGGGTAAATTACACAAATCGTTCCTCGTGCAGGTGCCAAAAAGCGTTTTTAATCCCTATTTTAAAAAATTAACTCGGACCGTCCCTTATTACTTTAAAACTTACACACTTCATCCCTCGAGACATAAAAAGACAATTTTACCCTTATTTATTCCTTTTTTGATTTATTTTTTATTTACTAATAATTTATTGATTTGTTTATTATGAAAATAATTATTTGTTTCCTTTTATCAAATATATTAAATAAAGATCCTTAAACCCTAAGCACGCCGTCCTCTTCCACCATTTCTTCTTCAGTCATCCCCACCTTCACCAGTATCATCGCCGGCTTCGACGACTTCACGACATCTCCGCCTCTTCGGCCACTCCAGCGATGCTATCAAATCATTACCCACCACAACTCAACCCATCATCCGCCTTCCATTTCCCCTTTTTCCTTCTGTCCTCATCGAACCAGGTACAAGTCCATCACGCAAGATCGAATAAGAGGGACATTGAGATCGGAGAAGCAGGTCGAATCGAACCCAAATCGTCTCCAGTGACAGTCCTCCTCTCTCCGATAACACAATGATGTAAACCCAAGATGATGCAATGACGACAGCGTGCCGGTGACGATGGCGACTCACAGTTGGCGATAGTGGTTCACCGATCGAACGAAGTGCAGACTTACAACCCCCTCTTGCCATCTCCCTCTGTAATGAATCAGATTTGCAGGTTCAGTGAATCAGGTTTGCTTTCAATTTAAGAACCCTAAATCGTTTGCTTTCAATCATTCTTGTATCAAATCAGATTTTCCATCTCCTTGACTCTTACTTCCTAATTTACCCTGATTATTTTTCCTGTTTTGCAAGTGGGTTTTCCGATGGAGGATGGTGGTGGTGTTAACAGTAAATGTGCTTGGTTCGATGGTGGTTTGAGTATATGTTGTTGGTTTGGTGAATGAGGTGGTGGTTTGTAGTTATTTTTAGTGAAACATGTTAACAATAACGAAGGAGTGGGTTGGGTGAAGTGAGGGTAGCGGTGGTGCCACATTTTCCGGTGAGAAGCGGTGGTGGTGCTTTATTTTGTGGTGGTGACGTACATTACCAGTGGTGGTGGTGGTCAGTTCTTATTCTACAAAATAGAAAAATAACTAAAATAATTTTTAGTAATTAAAAATAATCAAGGCAAATAATTAAAATAATTTTAATAATTAAAAATGTTCAAAATAAATGAAAAAGAAAAGAAAAGGGCATTATAGTCTTTTTATGTATGAAAAGGGATGAAACGTGCAAATTTAAACTAACGAGGGATGTACCGTGCAACTTTTAACAATACGAGGGACGATCCGAGTTAAATTTTGAAAATAGGGACGAAATGTGCATTTTGGCACCTGAATGAGGGACGATTGGTGTAATTTACCCTACAATAAATTACAAGGGTACTTAAGGAATAAAAACTAAAGTACCTAATAATTAATCAAAATTAATTTTGAAAATACAACTAACATTCTCTCTCTCTCTCTCTCTCTCTCTCATTGTCCTTCTATCTCCCTCATATTCATCTTCATCCCGGATTTAGAGATGAAATCGTCGAATCTCACCTCTACATCACCTCCCAACCTCCACCGATGATGATGATAAGTGTGTTCCATTATCTCCCTCAATCGATCGAAGCCGTTTTTCAAAACCTTTCTTTATAAATGTTTCAGCCAATCTTCATTGAATCTCCAGCTAATCGATCTGAAAATCAAACAAATAGTCAATGAGATTAGGAGGAAACGTGTTGAATCGAAAGAGTAGAGTTAAGTGTTGTGGATAATGATTTGATGGAAGGAAATATCGTTGAGGCTATAGAGGCTCTTACAGAGTTGAAAGTGGCTTTACGAGTTCGAGATAATGTGGAGGATCTCAAGAAGAAAGAGAGCAGTTAGTATTGGTTTGTTAAGGAAGAAATGGATAGATTGCTTCGAAGAGGTAGAAATTATATTGTTTTTCTTGTGTAGAGCTAGAAAAAAGTTGAATCGTTAAATCCTGATGTTTATTTGACACAGATTGTTTCCTTGTTTCGCAACCTTTGATGTTAAATGATGACTATCTTTAGGTATTTGTGACATAATTGATTATTTGCCTTTCTTAAGTTCATGGTGTGTTAACTGGAATTGAGTTTAGTTTTGTAGATACAAAATGTGCTAGTAATGTTCATGGAGAATGCAGTGAGATTCGATAAGCAGTCCAATGCAATTAATGTCAAAAATAGAATGGCTATGAATGACAGTTAAGGGGTTGAGCTCTGTACTATTGTGAAAGTAATGCAAGTAAGTTTAAATCCTTTCAACTTCTCCTTTTAATTTGATTTGTTGGTGAACAAGCGTAAGATAAGTTCTTATAAGCATGTTGATTCTACTAAAACTCTAGGTTAATTAACCTCAAACAACAATAGAGAAAGAAATTTTTGAGTTCCTCTCTTTCTAATCATCATACGTAGTTCAAGTTGACCGGCTTTCTTCTTCTCTTTTCTTATGCTTGTAGTTGATTTTCTAGATTATGGGCTTGATAAAGTAGCAAACTTGATGACCAAGCATGTGATAGCACCTACAATGCGCTCTGGTTCTCATAGTTTTTCTATAGAAGAAAAAAGACTTAGATTCAGGATATATAGTTGAGGTAGTTTTAAGAATAACCCCACCTTTTGATTCTCAAGTATTTATAAAGTGGCATGGGATATTTCATTTCTTTATTTATCTTATGCATAATGCATCACATCTTTCCTTATGGTTAGGAGGAGATGTGATTTTTTGTGAACAAGTAAATAGTTAACACTAATAACAAAAGGTATTATTACATTAACTTATTATAGTATCTTAAACCTTTAGGCATGTAGATTGAGAACATTGATGCTGAAACTATCGATTTTGGGATTAATGTTGTGATTCAATTCATTTTCAACTTTATTTGCTTTCAAGATTCTTCTTCGATGCAATACTTTGGAAGATTGACCTGACCCCGAATGTCAGAATTGATTATTTCTAATTTCCTTTCCAAGGTTGGTTCCCTTTTACATAAATGTTATGACTTTTCATTAGAATAATCTAACTAATGCTTCATCAAACCTCACAAATGCTTTTCATATTTCTACTTAAACAACAAAACTATTTTGTTACATAGTTGATTTGCATTGTGTGATGCTAGATCATTCCCAATTATACTTCCAAACTTGATGACTTTCAAAAAACAAGACAACTCAATTCTAACTTTGAGGCATCACTTAAACAAGTTATGTTCATATCCCCCGGGAAAGATGAAAGGCTAACTAATTTTGCTGACAATGTTGAAGTTCATTATGCAATGAGGAAAAAGGTTGAGATTTTAACAGCAACCAGAGACCTCCTTCTATATTCAGATTTTAATCTTCCTAAAGTAAGTTACCTAAACTTCTTCCATACACCATTTTCTATTCTTCTTCAACTATATAAACATTGATTGAATGACAGTTCTTTCACATGACAATTTAAGGAAAAATACAGAGCTTAAAAATGGTGGAAACATAGACTTACTTTTTTCCTCTGAAAAATTTGTGATTTCTAAAGTAGCTTCTTGGCTAATGGAAGTTGTACATCAAATACTAAAGGTTAAATAAAATATTACTTGATATAAGATATAATATGACATCCCCATTTTCACGGCCAGAAAAAACCGATTTTGTTTATGCTTTATAAAAATCAGAGTATCTCTTTTAATAAGAACGTTGCGGAAATTGTTTCCAGAAAAACATGATAATTCATTATCAAAGCATTTCCAAAGAAATGTATTTTTATTCATTTTAAAATATTTGGGATGTCATCGTCAATACAGAAACATAAGCATAAACAGAACTTAAATCCATTTACACTAGTGATCTATATCTCCTTAATCTCGTAGTGTAATGTAACTTCACCTCGTCACCTGTGATACAAGTAAACTGAGTGGGTCAGGTAAGAAAACATGGTGAGTACATAGGGTTTTCAACCCACAATAATATAATTATTATGTTTAATCATCAAACAATTAACCTAATTACCCATCTCCATTATCTTCTTTATTCCTAAGTACCATCACTAAGGATTTATCCTAAGGATCGTCTCCTACATCATATTTACCTCTCATCTCCTTACATCGCATTTCCTTATATGTTTGTTCCTAAGGACTCTCCCTAAGGATCATCTCCTACATCACATAGGCAGTATTGACTCAGGGATTACTCCCTCAATATGTGCCCAACAAGGGTTAGGGCATCATCGCATGAATACGTAGTTACAACATCGCTTGAACTCGTAATTCATAGTAAGGGGTTAGAGTATCATCGCATGAATACGTGGTTACAATATTGTATGAACTCGTAATTCATCACCTACAGGTTATGGGCCTGCTGGTGTTTCCACGGGGTTGTCTAAAATAGTTTGTGGTCGTCATCTATACTCTGGCAGATGACTACATCGCCACATTGTCAGTTAAGGTTATGGCATCTCCTGTCATCCTACATCACCTATTCATCATCATCTATTTACCTAATTAT